GATGAGCTCTCTGGATACTCCTGGGGCAGTTTAATCCCTTCGAGGCATTGTTATAATTATAAAATCCCGAACCCTTTTCACTGTGAGACGAGTGCGCCATTCTCAAAGTTGTTTTGTGTCTGTGCGAATATCCACCCATTCTCGTGCATTTTGTATAATTGTTTCGTTCGAGAGCGCCAAAAGCAAAAAGGTACATTGTGTGTGATCAAGGATAAAGAATCGCGGAACGGTGATTTTTTTAACCCTTTCAAAGGACATGCTTTATTTTTTATGGCGGACTGATTTTGTTTGTATGGACCGAATGTAATAAATTAATTTATAGGGCGCCGTATTTTATTAAGGGAAGGAACTACTACATATTTATAAATATATCGATATAAATTTTTGGGCTTGAAGAACTACAATGAAATCAGTAAAAAAAATTTATTTTAAGATCTAAATATTCGTGGTCAAAAGTTCATATTTTTAAAAAAATTATAATCTTTTAAAATGAAGTAATTTCTAAAGAAACTGGCAATTAATCAGCAAACTCTAGGAAAAAAATAATTCAAGCATGAGTTAAAATTCTATTTATTGATGGTTAATAATCGATCTTATTTATAAATTTTATTTTATATGTTCAACTAATATCATGAAATTATCTTTGTCCTTTGCTTTTGTAACCGAAAATCATTTATTTAAATTGTAGACAAATCATTTCTGAAGAAAATATTTGCTATTATTGATTCATATACAAATAAAAACTAGTTGCATTTGGGCAGACATGTATACATGTAGACAGGTAGACACGTAAAAAGATAGAAAAGTAGAAAATATGAAATGTAGACTGACATGCAGGGTGGTAGTTATACCTGGTAAACATGTAGACAGGTAGGCAGCTAGACAGTTATGCAGGCGAACAGTTAATATGGTAAAAACATAAAAAATATGGCATGTAGACAAATAGATTGGTAGAGAAACTGATTGGCGAGTACACGTGTGGACAAGTAGGCAGGTAAACAAATAGATATATTGACGGACAAAAAATCAGAAATGTAAACAAGTATACAGCTGAACAAGTAATCAGGTACACTCAAGTAAATATAGAGAGGTAGGCAGGTGGGCAGGTAGACAGGCAGATCACATATAAATTTAAAAAAAGTTATTGAATAAATCGATCTTAAATACATATCAGGAAGATAATGCAGTTTGCCTCAAGAAAAAATGCGACTTATAACTAGAAATAACAACAAATATACAGGTAGACAAGTTAACAGATACACAAGAATAAATAGTAGGCTGTTTGACAGGTAGATCGCATATTAATTAAAAAATATTATTGAATAAACCGACTATTAACACATATCGGGATGTTTATGCAACTTTATACAAGGAAAAATGTCACTTCCAACGAAATAGAAATTTTGGTCTAGGGTGCTTCTTGTTAAGTTAATGAAGATTGAAAAATCATCATATATCGTGTTTCGAACTAAAAAAATTCATCTTTTTTAAATTAATAAGAACAAACAATTTGGTTCACTCTAATTTTTTTTGACATACTTGATTCATACAAAAATTAGTCTGGCTATTTAATTTGCTTTATTGTAACAGTAACTTCATTATATCATAAATTAATAATTTTCGTTCATTTTAATATAATTATCTTATTTAATCCAAATATCACATTCCGACCCTCAGTTCAAGCATCGCATCTTAGCATTTAAACCCAGAACACAGTGTCTGTTTTAGTCTGAGAAAACTACCCTTTCCTGTCTGCCTGTTAGCCCGGGGTAATAACATTTCTTAATTTATGTGTTCTTGTAATGAAATAATATTAATGAGAGCGCCTGCGGGAGATGTATGCGTTTCCTTTCAAATAGTAGAACCACGGGGTCGGAACGGAATTGTATCGAAATTGCTTTCGGGTAAGATGATAGATTGATAAGAAATTAGTGTCCTTACTGATAATATATTATGAATTCGAAAGAATAATAACAGACACTGTTTAGTATGTGTAATGATTTATTGGGTAATAGCGATACGGGGAGGGTTGGAATATTGAGGGTTGGAAATATATTGTGTTAATTTCTTTGTTAAGTATGTTGATTTATTATTTTAATTTTGAAGTATTTTCATGGGTAATATTAAAATAGTATGGTACTTACAGTAAAATATTTTATTGTTTGTGATTATCAGAATTTTTTTAAGTGTCCTACGGTGTCTATTCGAGCAAAAACAATTAACAACATTATTTTCGAAGCGTTGTTTAATATTTCTTGAGAATTTTCACAACGCAAAGTGGTATCATTCTTTTGTTCGGAAATAATCGCAATTAAATCGAGAATGATTTTTTTTATATCTTTTCTAAACATTTTGGCCTACCTTAGAAAAATTGATGTATGTGTGTGTGTGCGCGCGCGCTTTTGTGTGTGTGTGTGTGTTTGGATACAAATTTTCGTTGACGATTTTGGAAGCACGATTCAAGCAATTTGAACTATTCAAAAAACATTTGATTCGTATTGATAAGGAGGCATGCTGATTAGTTTTTGGAAAAGTGCCAAAACTGGTTATTTTGTTTTTAAGAGAACGGAGCGTCCGTTTTTAAATAATTCAAAAAACATTTTATTTGTATTGACAAAATGAAGAACCAACTGAATATTTGGAAAGGTACATCTAGCGGTTTCGGAAATCGAGTAATAAATGTAAAAAATGCCATTTTGCGGTTTAAAATGATCATTAGACATATGCACATCAAATTCATCAGATATTTTATAGAAATTTTAATGATAAGTATAAATTTTTATTACATTTCTATGGGTTCTGTAATATTGTTTATCCATTAGACAGCAACGCGGCGCTTACGCGCTTCGATTCTTTGTTTATACGCGAAAAATGTTCTGAATTTCCAAAATATGAAAAAAACATTTCAAAAATTTCAATATTCTCAAATCAATTTTTTAAAAGTTTTATCGTTTGAATCTTTTTTGAAAAATTAAATTTTTGGTACGGGAAGTACCAGCAATTTGCCTTAAGGCACGATGTCATGCACCCTTTATAATCTGTTTATATTGATTTTATACATTACAATTAAGCATGATTCTGCAAAACGTCCCTGAGACGTATTCGTCTCATGAGAAAATTATTTATATGATCAGAGATCATAGTTTTATCTTGATTCTCATTTTTGGAGTCATGCAATTTATATGAGTGAAACAGAATAGCATCTAAAAAAACTCCTGAAACAACAACACAAGAACTCTAAAATTAAGAATCAAAATCAAACATGTTTCTTAAACTATGGGATTTGTTGAAAACGCAAAAATATGATCCCCTTGTCATATAATGTTACTGCATATTTTTTGCAACTTTTGTCTGCAAATTTCAAAGACTTAATGAATTGAACCATATCTCCTTTACTCAAAAAGCATAAATAATTAGCTACAACATTAACAATCCTTTGCCACTCCATATGGATTACCATCTCATCCCATCCCATCCCTTACCATATGGGCCCATTTGATGTCCTTTGCCCGGCTCATCCCTTCACGATGCCGCCAGCATGTGATCCCCACTCGAGCTGGCTGGTCCGTTGTCTACCATACACACAATATACAATATACCGATGCGTATATTATTAATCATGTTGTTATTTCACGAGAGGTGCGACAGTATGAGGTAGGTGGCTGATAGCCAAAATGAGTAGCAAAATTGCCCGAATCATAAGCACGGGGTGGCAAATGCGATGGCATCAGGTGTGGATGTAAAAATTGCACCCCCGTCTAGAGGGAGGCTTATGATAATAATTGAAGTGCATACGGCTCGCAGTGGAGTGATATTCTGAAGGGTAAACGTTAATTGAAGATGATTATTTTGTTGTGAAAATAAATATTAACAATTGTTTATATAATTCGTAATTTAATTTCAAATGATTGTAATATGTATTTTAATCAATGCAAGTTTCAGATATTTTTACTATATAGGGAATATATAGGGAAGATGGCCATCTTTGAATTTTTGTCACTTTTAATTTGAAATGTGAATTTATTTTTGTGCTTTTTATTTGAATCATTGTTCATTGGTTTGATGTAAAGATCAGCTTTCACACAATTATTGTAGTTACCAAATAATTACCACACATTTGTTTTAATTTAGATCAATCTAATAAGTTCATAAGAAGTGGTATGATAAGACAAATTTCTTTTATAAGCAGAGATAATGATTTATGGAAAATTGTGACTCTATGTAAACATTAATTGACAAGATATCTATAATTTCCGTCTGAAATCAAAGACTAGGAATAAATATAATTAAGAATGTCAAAGTCAAACTTCTTCATTACATTGATATTTACAAAATTTGAGAATAATCTTCTATATATATATATCATGATGACATCATCTGGCGATTATTTCGCCTGAAATATTTTCATGTGCCATATAGAAAATTACACTTATTAGGGGTGTTACGGATCAGAATACGAAACACATGTTGTCTTATTTGTGACTCAAGTGTCGAATATTACTGAGCAATAATGTATACTTATAATATTGTGAAATTACAGAGCTGACATGCAATGTGATGTAAAATGAAAAAAAAATCTATAAATTATTAGCAATGAATATGTATATCACTTCATATACTACATATCTGATATATGTAAAAAAAATATATTTTTTACTTTTTTTCATTTAGGAGTTTGACCAGGGGGTCATTTAGCCCTTGAATACAATTATTAGTCAAAAATGAACATATAATTATAAAATTCTGCAATCCGCAAAAAGTTAAATATTGAAAATAATTATTATGTATGATCGATACCAAATACATAGTCAATGTAAATGTAATCTCAATAATCAAATTTGATTATGATAATTACAAATGCTCCTATCAATATTTATATTTTATTACCAACGTTTTATTAATATACCTAGTTATAATTTAATTTATTTTGAGTACGTAGTATGCAATACCGTTACAAGCATTTTTTATATTGATATATCATGATTTTTTTTATTTTGCAGAAAGCTTGCTGCGTTACACTGCCCCCCGTTCACCTGATATAGGACCCAGTGGGGCGTCTATCCAGGATTCAAGTTACGATGGTCCTGCCTCATCGCAAAGGGCAAATTTTGTAACTGGAGGCCTAGGTCAATTGACTGATGGTCTGTTTGGCGACGACGATTTTCTGGATGAATACAGAGGACCCAACAGTGGCACAGGTAAATACATAGTAGAAATTGAACTAGTGGTGCATTGCATTGTGCATTAAGGTAAATTGCTAGAACATCCCGTGATGTAATTTAAAATTTCCAAAAGTTATAATTTTTTTTTGAAAACTTTGAATGAATTAGATTTTTGAGAATTTTGAAGTTTTTGAAAAAAATAGATTTTTGAGAATTTTGAAAAAATTAGAGAGAAATGTTTAATTTTTTTTTTTTAATTTTGAAATTGTTTGAAAATCTCTTTCAAAGAGATTTTGCTGCGTACCTGATTTATCTTTGAAATGATTGTGCCTGTCCAGAAACTAAAATGCATGTGTTCCCATCAATAGGAATCGAATGTTGTTTGAATCACTCAAATCGGTGAATCCGCATTCTCTGAATCGTTGACGAAAAATTGTTAGAATACAATATTGTGCCCAATTAGTGTCTTATTAATTTTAATTTTTTAGAACTAGATATTAATAGCTTAGTCTACCAAAGCATAAGAAATCGAAAATGTTTATTAATATAATTTATTAGACTATTCAAGTACAAATACGAATTCAAATAGTTCCCCGATGATTTTTATATCACATGTCATAAAATATTCGAATCAGATATATGTTATAAACATAGCATTAAATTTATTTCCTTCACATATCCTGTAATGACAAAAACAGTATCGTTATCGTTATTTATACTTTTGTATCGACTATATACGAGGCGATCTATGGCAATTGTGTTTATCTAACCATTGTAGCGCTCGGAATGAACCGTATTTCAATATGCTTTTGTATTTTTTTTTAAATGTTTGTTTCATATTTCTCTTTCTCCGAATATGTTTCCTGCATTTTTCCGGTTTTGCGCATAACGTTTTTCACACATAACGCGCCCGTCCTGTGTTTTTCGCGCTCCTCTATGATGTGTGTGAGTGCGTGGCGTAGCATGTTGTGTTTAATTGATTTTAACACACGTAAAGCTCTGGTGTCCGTGTTTCTGTAAAAGTTTTATCGTAAAAAAGTGCTGACTGGCAAAATTCGCATGTGGCACGGTACACATAACTGTGTAGATACACAAAAGTTTAATTCTAACAAAGTGCATAAAAAAATTTTGCTCTTAGGTGGATGTAGCAGCTAATGAAATCATGTGCGTTGCAGGATAATATTATGTTTTATGTTTTTTATGAAATGTGTTTTCTGAACTTATGTTTTTTATGATGAACGTAACACTTTAACCGTATATCTGATCATTTTTGACTGCCGAATGGCATTTCTATTTTATTTTTTTTCTTTTGATTTCCGAAACCGATGGACCTGCCTTCTCAAATATATAATCAGTTCTTCATTATGCCAATACAAGTAAATTGTCTTTGAATTGTTGTCTCCTTATCAATAGGAATCGAATGTTTTCCAATCGGTTGATATGTGTTCTTGAAATCATCGACAAAAAATGCATTCGCACGTACGCACACACACACACAAGCATACATTCATTTTTTCTGATCTATGTCAAAATGTTCAGAAACCTTTGAAACGTGAAAAAATATAAAAATTGTAGTAAAATACTATCAAATAAAATAAAAGCGTAAAGATAACGTATAAAAGTCAACAAACAAACAATAAAAATCGATAAAAATTATCATTTTCAATCTTTACCCTAAGGGAAGTTAATAAAATTTGTATCAATAGTTTTTTTTCTATTGGTTTATTATTAACTAAATTATATAAGCATCAAATGCAATACCGGTTTATCGGTATACCAATAATCGATATACAGTCTAAATTTGTTGCAGTATTAATAATGGTATTTTCCTTTAAAATATCGGTGTTTTTGGTATTAAAATATAAACGCTAATTGTTACATGTTGCACTTGTGTTTGATCTTATAATTATTTAAAGCAAAAGTTTCTTCAGGCCGCTCTAATGTATAAACAAGTGTTCTAATATTATTTCGACCAGTCTTTAAACTGAATATATATTACTTACCAGTGATCTTTACATCGTTACAATGAATAAAATCAGGCTAACATTTTTTTTTATTTACTACTATATTTACTACCGTCCAGTTAAGGATATTTAATTTTGTTTGTTTGTTAATTTAGATTTGTCATCTATAATAATGGAAATGGATATGTTGCGAAAACAACTCACGACTAACAAATAATAATGTTTATTTCCTTTTATATAAAATCGTATGCCATAAATACTCAAAATCAACAAAATAAATCTGGGCAATTTTTATCTGTGTTCTAAATTTATACATATTAATCATAATTACTAAATATTTTTGTTAATAAAAATTTCATATAAATATTTAACAGAAACGTCAACAAGTGTAGTGTCACAAAGAGCTTTTTTAGCTGCTCAACATGTAAGCACTTAATTTTGTATCTTTTTCAAAACAGTCATAAATGAAGAAAATAAGTTAATTATCAAAGATACCCTTCAGAGCTAAAACGGTTTGTTTAGACTTTTTTAATTAAATTATTATAATAAATTCATAGATAATGATATATTAGGATTTAAAAAATAGTAAATTTATATAAATCTGGCTCCTTTATGAAAATATGCAAGTTTTATTTTTTCCATTTTACACCCCAATACCACGAATTTTGCTTAACCAGTATCCCATTTGCTTTTATGCGTAACAAGCATCATTTTTACGCATGGTCATATTTCAAAAACGTTTTAGCGAACATTCATATTTTTTCACGCACTTTCACTCTACATACGCTTTTGTAGTGTCACAACCTTCAACCAAGAGCCGAGATATCTGAATTCCTCCTGCACCGTTATTGCAGGCAATCGAGCCGATATTACATTTTTCGTTCAGTTATTTTTCTTACAAGGCTATGCATATTTTATGGATTTTGCACGTTCATCGAAATAATAACCAGGTGTGTTTGCTGTAGCCGTTAAGAGCGCTCTGGTACACTTTCCGAGCGCGTGAAAGCTTTTGCTAGAATAGCTATTTACCTAATGGTAATAGTGTGCGCCGTGTGCTAACTATGCGCTATTTAATTATTAGCTGCAATAGAATAGACCCAAAATGCATTTTGATTCTAGGGCAGTCTAACTAATTAAACCTATAAAATGAGTTGAAAAAAAGATAATAAATATATATATATATATATATATATATATATATATATATACCATATGATACCGAGGATATCATTCCTAACTTCATAGCCTTCATAACCTTATCCTTCATGACCATTATTCATTTGGTTAGCACCATTGGCCGTTACATTCAAACTTATTCGAATATATATAGTTTGTCATTCTCGCTTTGAACCTGACATCGGCTAGCAGCGATGTCCATTTTCACTTGAAATGCAGATTAAAAATATGTTTCCAATTGAAAATAGCCCATTCCGGGCACTGGGACATGAAATGACAATTAGTCCAGTCATTTGGTCGTTTTGCCGGTACAGTACTCCGGGAATTCTGAAAACTGGTAATCTTATAGATTTCGAGGTGCTCTTTACGAAAATCAACTTTGCCACCTCAAATTTGAACGACAAGTTGCCGCCATATTGAAAAAATGGCTTTAAAAAACAGCTTTTTTAAAATATCTTTTTTCTGGCTCATTCTACGATAAAAGTATCTATGTACAAATTAAACTAGAGAAAACTTCCTACAATTCTTTAGAAAACCGTTTTTTTGTAAAATTGATAGTTTGCGAGTACGGCCGCCTCAAAGTCTTTGCTGCTCTCGCCGTAGTATCAAATCTCTCCATATATGACAGCACTTTGAACTTGACCACATTGCTTCTAATAAATAAATATTTTCAATGTTAAAATAACCGAATAAGATCTACAAATAAAATAAATCAAATATTTTTCTGTTTTTTTGCTGATTTTTTAACACTTCAAGCTACTTACTTATAGCTACTTTGCCATTGAATAATAATTTTTTTAAAGTAATTTTTTGTCCAATTTATAGTTTCTCAAAAAATCTTATTTTTTCAAAGTAAATTTTTTTCAAAAAATGTTAATAGTTTTTAAAAAAATAATAATTTTTGGTACGGGAAGTTCCAGCAATTTGCCTTAAGGCACGATGCCTTAATTGCCTTAAGACAGAATTCCACTTACAGCTAGTTATGTCATAATTAATGTTTTATTTTTTTCCCAGGGAGCAGATGGGTGGGTTGGAGCAACGATACCACGGTTTCATTAGACTTAGAGAAGAATCTAGTTACCACTGGTATTCCCGGCGGTTCCAGCAACAATGGAGGGCTCGAGTTGCTTTTTGAATTCGACGGCCCCAGAGAATTCACATCAGTTCATCTGCACGTGAACAATATGTTTACCAGAGGAGTTCAGGTATGTACAACATTTTTAATTATTATAGAAAAAGAAGCATCTCACGTTTGATCACCAATATAATAGGATCGAAACTATATCAAAATTCTGAGAAATAATGTTGCTCGATATAGAACTAATGATTCACATGATCCACAAGTACTTGGGTATACTTGTTCGAATACAAAAGTACCACTTACTTCATTAAATTTGATAAAAACGTCATCCAATATAAAACCATATTTAAATACCTTCTGCTTCATCTTGCTACTTAATTTTCCTCCTTATTGTATATTTCCATCAAATTTAAAATGAATTCACAGCAAAAATAGATTCGACATGCATTATTAATCACTTAGTTATTCTTCCAGATATTTTCCCATTGAATTTTCTCGACTTTTCAATTCAGAATATCAAACAATTCAACTGCATCGTAACGCAGCGGAACACGGTAATCAAATAGAATACTTTACCTGTTTTTCTTTCGGTATTCGCATCTTTGTTTTCATCGGATATTAAAAATTCTGTAGCTTTTTCGTTTGTCTGCCTATCGAGAGGGAGCATATTCTCGATTCTCGTATTTTTTGCATAAAAATTTAATGAGCATAAATAAAATATTGCGTTTCATTCGCAAGAGAGCGTTGTATACAAGTGCTTTCTTTCTTTCAGATATTACTCTCTGAAGTCGTAACCTATTATATTCCACGGCAGTATTTGTATTTCGTTTCACGAACGATGTATAATATTATGTTGTGCATATAATATTATCGTATATTTTTCATGCTTTTTGCCTTGCTTTATTTTCATTTGCATTTTCCCTCGCAATATCTGGATTAAGGGCGACGTCGGGAGTGACCTTTATAGTTCACTTTTTAATGACAACCATATACATTAGATAATCTACATGAATATTATGTAATAATCCATATAAAATTAATCTGGCCATAAAAAATCAAGTATAATTATATCTGATATTGAATTTTGACGTCACTTTTTGCACTATATAATTTTCACTCATGAGATTCAGTTACAGGTACTCATTTGATATAGCATTTAAATTAATTATTTCGGCCTCACCATAAAGTGTAATATAATAATTGGAACAGAAGACATCAAAATTACTCCCACTGGCATTAATACTTTTATAATAGTAACTAGTTGTATAAAATCCACAGTCAACGATTGCGATTCACACTTATTATAATTCGTTTATATACTTGTAGGCGTCCCTAAATTAATTATAGCATTGATATTAATTTTCAAAATGAATTATAAGATATACCAGTAATTTCAAAATTGTTTATCTACAGTACACACGAATTTTGAAAAAATGTTATAATAAAATTGAAAATATATCTTTGACTGTTTTTCCTACCTCGGCGCTTACCATCGTGTATTTTGTGGTGTTTTTTCTCAGTTTGCTCATCCTTGGCAACCCGAAGTTGACGTGATATTTTGAGTGATAAGTTTATACGGAGTTTATCATAATTTATGAAGTTTACAACATGGATGTTCGCTTTGAATATCCTACGTATAGAAACCTGTGTACTTTGATATATGCAAGATAAACTGGAACGTTCGATTTATTATGTAACTTTTGTTACGAAAGCAGAGTGTGTATATTATTACATCGACACGTGGAGATTACTTTATAGAAGGTGCTATTTATCTCTGCAAAAAGTTTGCAGATTTTTCGAGGACAAGATGGATTGTGTACATTTTTAGTTCGTGGATAAAATCTTTGAAGCATTGGAGATTCTTAAATCTGACCTAAAAGATAAAATTGCTATGGAATTTATAAAGTACAAAAAATCATCCATAACTTATGCTTTAATAATTTTATTTATAGCCCAATATAAATTAATAAAATTAAATTCATCTATTACAGATACCATCTTCAATTTCGTTCTATTTTTCATTGGACGGAGAACGATATCAACCAGTGGCTGTCGTTCATCGACCAATACAGGACCGAACTGGTGAAAGTTCTAGAAATATTACAGTGCCCCTTCAAAACAGAGTGGGTCGTTTTGTCAGGGCCGAATTGGAATTCAGCTCGCAGTGGATACTGCTCAGCGAAATAACATTCGACTCTGGTAAGTGATAATATAATTTTTCAAATATTTTTATATGATTTTTAATGTGATCATTTGCATGACACGTAGATTGTATAGAAAAATAAGTACCTATATCTGAGAAACATCTTTCCGAATTATCTAAATTGTCCACATTCTCGTGCACGCATTTTCTAAGTGTTTTCTATTATCTTTTATGTATTAAAAACAGTATTGTTTATGATATGTTTTGTACGTGAATATGTCGCACGTATACTGCGCAAACATGATTTTCATTTTTCGATATTTTCCTTATCGCTTTAGGCTTTTAACTAAATTGCGTATTTCGTGTGACACCGACATTATTGGAAAGAATTACGATATTTTTAAAAGTTCAGGCTTAGAAGATTGAAAAAATTCTACTAATAATTGCGCATGTAAAAATATCTCGAAATTGAATCTATAAAATTTTATATTGTCAAGTCATAACTAGACTTTAATTAGTTCTGCGCAACCGCTGGACCTGCCTTTCCAAAAATTTAATTTTTCATTCCTCCAATACATGAAAAATCTTCTCTCAAAATCGAATTGACTTTATTTGCACGTTTTGCCCCGAACCTTCGGAACGGCTGGACCTGCCTTGGCAAAAAACAAATCAGCACGTCTCCCTATCAATAGGGATGAATCGATTCGGTTTATCCATGTTCTCGAAATTGTCGATAAAAATTATATTCGCACATACATACACACACCCACACACATACACACACACGTACGTCAATTTTTTTTAAAGTATGCCAAAATGTTCGGAAGGTATTGAAACGTAAAGGAAAACGTAATGAAAGTTAGGAAAATGTATAAACATTTTAATTTTCGATTTTTTGGCGATTACTACAACTTACCCTACGAAAAGTCAATTACCCTCTGGGAAGTTCACGAATTAATTACTTTGTTAAAATTAATTATAAAATTCAAGCTATCAAGTCTATTTGACACCGAGTTGAATAAAGATTAGTGAATAATAAATATATAACGAGTGTAGATGGCCGTGCTCTTATGTATAAATAATATAGTCGTTATCCCCCGGGAATGGTCGAATTAAGATAGCTAATAATTAATTCGGTAGCATTTCGGTACAATGAATTCTATAAATACAAGAACGGCAGTATTGTACCGACGTAGCACACAGCATCCCGTACACAATGCACCTGTTCGTATACAATTTTAATTTACTTATCTATCGTTGGATTGCGCTCTCTTTTGTAAGAAGAACACGCACCATCGCGTGCTTCTTGTGTGAAATACTGCTCCAGTTCTTTTGGCAAAAAATATTGCAGAAAGTTTGCGTGACCGGCACTAATCTAATTTGTAATGAACGGTCCTCAAGATGCTTACAGAGAGAAGCTATTTCTAAATAATAAAATAGATACGACCACATACGGTTCGGGGAATAAAAATTCATTGCTACTATCTACTAGTAGATATCTATAAATGAATTTGTATTATGGTATAATTTTGGAAACATAAATTGAGAAGCATAATTTATGATTTGAAAATTTTTACAATTGTACTTGTAATTCATAACATATTTTGTACTTTTATTAATTAAATTAACTTACGTTTAGTACAGGGCATAATTTGTTTTATTATTTTTAAGGAACAGGGTAAAATATTCTTCTGATTCGGGCATTTTTCATTAAATCAAGATTTGTTCTACGATGTAATTTTATCAGTACGCATACAACATTGATGCCGGTGATATATGTGTGTGCTTTTTTGTTTGGCGAAGGAAATGCATTTTTGCATACCAGACTAGGTCTATTGTCTGGGTATGTCTTACTCACTACGTCCGTTACCAGTATCAGTCAAATTAATAGCGGATTTTTTTTGTTATATGATACCAAATTGTTTATTTGTATCTGATGAAATAACAAATAAATGATTTGAAAAGATATCAATGGTAATAAATTTTAATAACTGTATCTTTTCAACAGTATGAGCTATAAGATTCGAATTTTGCATTTGGTATGCCTTGTGTTTTAGGATAGTTTTCCATTTTTAATTTCTTAATAGTAAGCAAAATTCTAATTAAGCTAATTAGAGTTTTTTGAGTGTTCAATTGTAAATTTTAAACCAAAACCTTATAAAAATGAATGAAAAAATCCAAATCTAATATAAATGTAATTATATTGTTTTCCATCAGCAAATAATATTTTACGATGATTGGCATAAAAACGCCAAAAACAGTAAATTATGTCAAATATCGCTCCGTGTAATTCTATAAAACCAAGCCACAGCAATTTCATCTCGAATCATGTAAGCGTCTTGTTTGTTTCGCGTATTTCAAAAAGTTACTTATATCCGTCATCCATTTATATTTATTCTTTAGGCGATTACGTGTAATGTTATTTTATGCAAAATAAAATAAAAAAAGCCAAAATGTCTGTTTTGCTAGACGTGTGTCACGCGCAAATGCTGCGGATTCGTATTTAAAAGAATTACCTTCGGGGCCGTTTTTTCGATTTGAAGAAAATACAATGTGGAGGATATACTTTACGAGACATGTTTCAGCAGATTTGCCTCGGGGAATGACGTTCGATTCTGATTTGCCTACGGGTTTTTGGTTTTAGAATATATTTCTTTATTCCCAATTTTACTGCAAAACTCCTGAAATAAAAAATTGAAAAAACTCGATTAAAACTATTTGAGTTAATTAAGCTACCTACGTATTTGGCTAATAATGTACCTATACTGCCATTATTGTGAAAGTACTAAAAATAGCTAATATATGGAATAGTGATGCTAGGAGCTCATTATAATAGGGACAAGTAGTAACAAGAGGTTTTTAATAGGATCCTAAATAATACAAAAATATTTTTTTGGTTTAATTTTACCACCTCCCGCATCTTGTTATCATAGCTTCTGTCATGCAGTCTGACGTTGTAAATAGAAGTGTGCGTCATTTTAGACGGTTTGCTTTATTATTTTTGACTAAAATAGCTGGGGTTAGTTGTAACTCTTGTCTATCGTAAATAATTTATAATCTATTGCAGCCCTGTAATGGTCTGTTTTCTGAAAATCATCCATAAATATGTAGTGTAAGTCTTTTTCCAACGCATAATAGAATATACACGCAGTCTGGAGTTCGCAAATTGAAATGTCTGTTCGGTTATGATACATAGAATTGTATGAACCATATGAAATCACAGCAGACTGTCATGCAATGCGATTGTTTCTTAATACTTTACTCTAAGAAATTCGTCATTTTAGATTGCATTGTGACAGGGAAAATGTTGCAGATCTTACTTAGATTAAAAGCGCGAGATTGTGTATTATAAAAGTTATATCTGGAGAAGAAATGAAATAGAACTTATTTTGTCATGGTAATTTGCAAAAAATATAGTAACTTAACAATATAATAATAAATTATCTTCATTTTTAAAGTATTATAATCAGTATTTAAATGAACTATATAGTATAGTCACATAGTTTAATTCCATTAATGAATGAAATACAATTTATAATTCTTGTTTGTTACAACTTGGTTTGTTTCAACTAACACTAGGTGTGATTTTTTTACAATAATGAAGATAACATTTTGAACAACTTAGCAATCACATAAATTGTTGCACAGTATCCAAAATTGATAAATGTGAAACTAAATAATATATATATATATATATATATATATATATATATATAACCAGATTTAAAAGTACTGGAATTTCATGATCGTTAAATTTTATATTGCATAACGAAAATGTTGCACCTGCACACTTCTGTTAAATGCCTATAGCTTCTCTACATGCTTATATTGGTGACGATTGAAATTTTCATTTACCTACTAAATATTTTTATCTACGATTTATGCAAAATTTTCAAATAATTATAAATTATACTAATCATTAATGTTTTAGTGATAATAATATGCATCAATAAGCGAAGAACTATATAAATCGCCACACAATTCGCTTGCACTACGATCACAAAATTAAGATAGAATTAGATCATTTTAAAACTTTACAAAACAAAGCTAAAAATTTATCTTTTTCTATTGAGAATGCAAAAGTTTCTTCCCAATTTTCACATCTAATTAAAATCAATATGATCTTTCCACTCAGCCGCAATAAATCAATTAGAAGTTGCAATGACTGCGCGTTGGACCGGAATCAAACGAGAACAAAGAAAAGCAAATCTAACGCACACCACCAAATATTTTCTGTGTCCTGACACAGAACGAAAGTAACATTTTTATTTGCTCTGGCTATGATGAATGCGAGCACACTTTTGTGAACGTGGCCGCAAATGGTGGAAATGCATTTTCCGAATTGCTACTTTTATTACGCGGCGCCCGCTGTCCCCGGTGTGTTCCATATGTCGGGGCGCCCGGGTCGGAAAATTACTGCGTGCGATCCCGCAGCAGCAAACGGCGGCTCCCTTCCTGCCCATAACGTGTTCTTCGAATCGATTGTTTTGCCGTTTTCTATTTGTACACTTCCTGCAATTCGGGATGTAAGAAATGTATTCAATAGTGAAGAATAAGGAAATTGACTGTTGGAATTATATTGGGTTCGATAAGTTGGGTGTGATGACTGTATTTTTTTACTACATCGAGATTTTTTGACCAATGCTTGTAAAGTTATTGATTGGGTACATAATTTCGCGTATTGTTGTGAATTAATGTTTTTGCGGAAAATATACACAATTGATCTATATTAGCATCATAATTTCGTAATCAATATTTGGAGCTATCAAAGTGGAAGGTCGGACTATAAAATATTATATATATATATATATATATATATATATATATATATATATATACATATATGTGTGTGTGTGTGTGTGTGTGTGTGTGTGTGTGTGTGTGGAGCAATTTACATGATGTCGATTGTTTGATGCCTCGATAGTGGACTATAATTTTTCCTGACCGTTTATGAAATAATATTTAATGTAATGTTTAATTGATTTAATGTAATCAATGTAAGAAATTCAAGCAAATATGTATATGTAGATACTAATTATAATTACAAAGTAATTGT